CTTAATCCTACTAATAGTAATCAACAAGTCTCAACCTATCTTGATTTGTAAATTATTGATCATCACACCATGAAAATTTTTGACAAAAGAAGACATTTTGAGTTCACTACTATTAAATTAATCAATTGGAACTCCAATATTCCCAAAAAAGTAATTGAAAATGCCTTTATAAATCCAATTAAAAGAATAAGGAATATTTGTACAGACATTCAAGATATTAAAAATGAAACCTACTTACTAATTAGCACACTAAAGGATAACCAAGTACTTACTCAATTTATTAATCATTTATCTCAAAAAGGCAGGCATTAATTTTAATTTCATTCTTTTAATATAAGATATATGAAGGATAAATCTGAAACTTTTAATAAGGAGGATAATGTTGGATGGCTTAGCTTGAAAGATTTGCACATATGTAAACAGTACAATGTATAATTTTTTTTTTTTTTTTTTTTTTTAATATTCTTTTTACTGGCTTCTAAACTTTTACTAACTCAAAGCAATTTTTCTTAAGTCGCAATTACAGCTCGTTTTTTGCGTGAAGATTCTTAATTTTTACTCTATCTTTTTCCGTTTCATGACTTTTAGCCAGAAATATGTATATATATATATATATATATATATATATATGTGTGTGTGTGTGTGTGTGATTTTTCATATACATGTTATATATATTATATGTGCGTGCATCTAAAGCATAATATCGTGATCATAATAAACATGCAGCACCTGTGTCATAAATGAAACCTTGAAATATGAAACACATTAAAAAATAATAGAAATAATAGAAAATAACAGAAATAAACTTCCACGAAATTTCTTTTAAAAACGTTAAACTAGAAAAGAATCTAAAAATTTTGCAATTATTAAAAACAATCTGTTTGATTATGTTGTACTGATAAGATTTTAATCGATCAGATTATTTCGAGCATCTGAATATTAATACGTTATATTAATAAAATTATTCATTAGTAACAAACTTTAAAGCGAATAATATCAGGCAGAAAAATTTAGGGAACAAATTTTTTACCTAATGCTTATTTTCTTAAGTACTGTACATGGATAATATTTAAAAATACGACAAACAGATTTTATATATAAATCAAAAATATTTTTAGTAAAATCAAATTTAAGCAAATTTAATAAATCAGGAAAACTATTCAGTTATTTATTAAAATATGCATCCATTAAAGTCTGCGTACATGGTTTTCTCTTTTGTTTAGTCACTCATTCTTTAAATCAGTCAGCACTTCTTAAAGTAAATCAATCACTTTGTTATTGTCAACGTCTTATAGTGCTCTTTTGGCAACTTTCTTTACAATGGACCGACCACCAGCAGCATCTTCTATAACTTTTAATTGTGTTCCTAAATATAATGATTTTGCCTTACGGGCACTTTAATCAAACCTTACGAAATATCTTAATCAAAGAAACACGTGAAATTTTAAATATTTTTTGTAAATAAAAGAAAAGGAAAGAAACATGCATGCTCTTAATTATGAACTCTGAAATACACGTGATTGGCAGCATTAACATAAAAACATAATTGATTGCCATGGCGCCACTGAACACTGATTTAGTGGCTGCATAGACAGGAAATAAAAATTTAGTATAAACTGTCTAGGAATATGATGAATCATTTAAAGACGGCTGTATCATAATTGCGTATTCAGATATGATAAATTACACGAAGCTGAGAAAGGTTGATGATTCAAAAATGATTTACTGTTTTCCATAAAAGTAGATTTTCTGTTATAATAATAAATGAAAATGTACCTCTTTTTAGTACATAAAATAATTTAGTTTAATGACAAAATGAGGCATTTTGTGGTCGCATTAGACCTAATGGTGCCGGTAAAGAACTGGCCTTCCTAAAATCGAATTGTGTTATTATCAGTACCGATACCAATAACCCAGTGGTAACGTCGTTGAACACTGGTAGTTAATAACACTGATAATCGGTGGACTGCTAGTCTACCTGAGTTCGACTGCCAGGCAAACGGGTTGGCTTCATGGGCGTTATCGTGTTTTTCCCCATGGGTAACACAGTTACGAGCCAGTTTCCCTTAGAAAGCCCTCGCGTTCTTTGCCATAACCACATAAACCAAGCTAAAGATATTGGTGTCTTCCAGAAATGGTATTCTTAGGCAAGTGGTGGCTATGAGTTCACTGTGTTTAAAAATACAAAAAGATTTCTTTAATTACCATATGAATACATTATTAATAATGCTCCTGTATTAAAAATTGTTAATAACCTTTTCTATTACATTGGCTCATGAAGCAATGATATCTTACCCAGTTAATTTACTTCCAGCTTGCAAAATGGTCACGTTTTACTACAAACATGTCACAGTAGTTGATGCATTTAGTGATTTACGAATATGTTTTAAGACCATATAATTTATTACCAAAGATTTGAGTTTCGATTTCAAATACCTGTAATTTTCCCCATTAAAAGAGTTAATAGATGCTGCTGAAAAACAGCAATTAGCCAGATGATAGTCTATTTGAGAACTTACCAAGCTCAAACTTGAAAAAAAAAATTATTGCTGAAAAAAATTATTTTAATCCATTTAAAGTCAGTTTATTGGTGATATATCAACAGAACTGATGATATACCAATGGAAATTTCAAGTCACGAAATAGCATATTCTAATCAAGTCGCCTGCATTCATAAATAATACAGTGATACCACCTAGGATTTGAAGTCTTCTTTGGTATTTTTATCAGCGATCAAGAACAAGAAATAATTATTAGCCATATAATCAGGCAGTATAAGAAAAACTAATAACCAAGACTTATTTCCTTAAGTCATTCCAGAAAAACTTGCATATTTCTGTACCATGCAAATCATCCCCGGGAAATGACACCACTTGCCCAAATATCATCCCCGGGAAATGACACCACTTGCCAAAAATATTTTCTAGCTAGGGTCCTGCTAGAAATAATGCTATAATATTTCCTCGTTTAAAACATGAAATATCATTTTAGAGAATCTCAAGCTCAAAATTTCAAGAACCTGCATAAGTATCACAATAAATTGTATAAAATTTTAGAATAATCAACTAATTACTTCCAGAGATAAGGTAACGATATTCAGGCAGAATAGCATTTCACTTATTAGCTTATTTGTGCACTTTCTTAGATGGTAAATTTTTTTCGTGATAGTCTGAAAGGAGTCCCATATGTATCCTAATTCTGTTTATAACATGCATCTTAATGAATCAATTAACTGCCCAAAGAAATATTTTACTATCGATTCGATCTTGCATATTATGCAGAAGTTCTGTTTAACGTTATTTGCACGTCATCCTGAACATAATTTAACCATGTTCCTAAAATTATTGCACTGAACTCCCTTTAAGATTCCTTCCAGACGGCAACAAACGGCTGTCTGAAATTTGCATATTTTATGTAATGATAACATAAACAACATTCTTGTTTTTTTTTTTTTTTCATGATCCTTTCCCGTACAGATTTTCGATCTGAAGTACATAGAAAATAATTTTTTTAAATTCTATTCAAAAATTCCTTTTCTGTAAAATATTTGTTCTGCGAAATCATATAAATTTTTACCGCATATCTTTTTCCATTTTAATTCTCAAGTTTAGTAAGACATGAACGGCTAATTCTGAAGCACACTCCAAAGTGTTTAGGATTTTATTCAAGTATTTTTAGTATCGACAGTATTGTAAATCTCTTCTTGAATTGAGTACATATAGAAGCTCCAGAGATGCAAAATAAAAATACACCCCATAGTAAAAAAGTGAATTTACCAATACAGGGAACCCTCTCGCAGCGACCATCTCTTTATAACGAACATATCTCACAGTTACTAGTATTTCTAAGGAGAAAAATAAACATCGGCGTTAAACATCCTCTCTAAGGTGATCACTCCCATACAAGGCCAAACTCGTCTGAAAAAAAGATGACGGGCGGTTAAAGAGGGTTCACTGTTTACTTGTTCGAATTGAATACACCACTACTAATGTTCACTATCACAGATTTTCTTTTTTCAGTACTTTCACAATTTATTTTAACATGGAAATCATAAAGCTTAATTTTGATGTTTCCAATATTTCATGAAACATGCAAGTTACGCGTTAAGATTTTATTTAATGACGAATTAAGTATAAAAAGCGAAAACTTTAAATAAAAAAAAATTATTCATTTTGTTACTGATGGGACAGTAATGAACAGTATGAAATGGAATTATTTATATCGAAATAACTCTGTTTTATATAATGCATAGAATTAGTAAATAAATAAAACAAATGCTTGCTTAAGTTATACATGTGACAAAGAGAACATTAAGACAGAGAGTGAGAAAAATATTTAATTATATTATTGCGTAAAATTAGCAAAGCAACAACGTTGTGTTTGGTGTAGATTTAGCTAAGAACTTAATCGATTTTGAAAACAAATAGATACAGGCCCCTGCAAGACCGCAGATTTCTTTGCTCCTGATGAAGAGGAATCTGTACCTGTTTGCCCTCGAAATCGATTGAGTTCTTGACAAAATACATGCCAAACAACAAGGCTGTTACTTTGCTAATTTTATGTTTCACTTAGACGTGTTTTTATTTTTTTTATTTTTATTTTATTGCGATTATGAAATAATGTAACTTGTTTTCACTTCTCAGAATGCAAAATAAATAAAATATGTTCTTATAAATTTTGATAAAAGGAATACTGCTACAGGGAAACTAGACTTTCAAAGATTACTGATCATAATAAGCACTACAGAGCACAGAACTTGTAAGAAAAGAAATTTTCCAGTCACTCAGTGTTACGATTTGCATGCTGATTCAGGAAACTATAACGTCGCCATTGTGGCAATTTTCATGAAACATTCCTTTAACGGGATTCGAATAAAAGTTACTTATTATTTTTAAAAAATTATAAAGGATATTGTGTGGATCAGTTTTGAAGTCGGATATTAAAGTATATAATTATCAAGCAGCACACTAATATGAATTGCATTAAAAGAAAAAAGTTACCTTTGAAATTACTTGATTGCAAGAAATAATCCCTCAGTGTTTTCACTGAGCTTAAGATACGATGTTCGGTCCAACATTATGCCCGAAATTGTAGATCCAATTTCCAGCTACTTATATTAAATTATTTTATTGTCACGTGCTCCTTTTTCTTTTTCTCCTCTCGCTTTCAACCACTTGATTTCATTGAGCTCATTTAGGAACTCGTCTCTTCTATCTGGATCCAGGCGCGTTTCCTGATCAGCAAGAGGCCCAGGGATTCCGATTCGATTTAAAGCTCTCAAAGAAGAAAGAAATATGCATGTCTTGAGACTAATGTCTATACTTATGGAATCGCAGTGAACTAGAAATTATTTCATTTTAATGGCTACGATTGAAAACATGTTGGCCACTTTGTTGAATTTAACATTACTAGCAGCTTGAATCCGATAGTAACATCACACCCTACAGTGAGGTGAGGAATCAGAATCTTGTTTAAGAGAATATTAGAGGGCCGTATGCTGAGAAATAAGATTAAAATCCTCTCAGTTACCAGACGGCCTATGTTCAAAATTTTAGATTATGAAGTACTTTTTCTAAAACCCATAGATAATGTTATAATACTACAGACTCATATAGCAAGAGGAATGACCAAAATATTATCTTCTGAAAGATTAATTAGCTTTATTTACAAGTTTTCTGATATATTAAATACGTCTATCAGGGGCTTCTGAAAAGATATTTTCTTTGGGAAATTACGATTCTCAAAATAAGCAAGGTTTTTGTTGTAGTTTTTAAAAATGATCTAAATCAACCGTGCATTGCTTCAAGTTGCATTTGCTAAATGATTTCTTATTATTATGTTAATTGGTTCTTCTTGACATTTCAGAAAAGTCATTAAGCTGAAAGTTTTCATCAGAAACAAGGTTTTGAAAGTCTAAAACGTTTTTAATTAAGCTAAGTATTATAATATAGATTTGATTACTGCAATGAACTTTAAACTAAATTATATGAGGAGTATAGTGATGTATATATTGGGAATAGGTAATTTTTTTAAAAAAAATTAAATCTTTTGTTACAACTTGAAATAAAATTGTTTTTTTTTTTTTATTTACGAACAGTTAGGAGCAATATTAAAAGCAAATGTTTCCTTTAATGGTTATCTCTACTGTATATGATATATTTCAGATACCAATTCAGCTTATAATACTCAGCTTATAAATCAGCTTATGTATAACTCAGTCATATTATAACACAGATCCTGCGTCTTAAAATAGCCCGGCTTTAAAAACTTTCACGCATTATTTTTGAATGCTACTCAGACCTATTAACACTTAACGTTTGCCTTTCGTTTTTGCGAGCAATAATTGCAGCACCTTAAACAGCAATATGTAATTCATTTAAATCCTATGCTGAAACATTGGACAGGAAAATATAATGCATTATATTATTGTACCTGGCGCATCAAGAACAAAACTATCTGTCGCTTCACGAGAACTTTTATAGAAATAAAATACACATTTTTTTAAAAAGTCCTATGGAGATCAAACTATAACTGGATCATGTCTTCTCAATTAGATTATTCTTAAAAGACCCACATTTTTTTATATTTTTATTCTAGCAACATTTATACAACCTATGACAACTGAAAACCGCATTTGCATCGCATTATAAGCGGATTCGCACTGCAACGCATTGCGTTATAATGATTTTAACTTTGCTGTGACTTATCTCACTCATCTGATAGTAATTTTATCGAAGAGGGAGTGCAGGATTACGTCTATCTTTGGCATCGCCCTTGGGCACCTTATAGGTGAGAGAGCGAGATTGTCCAGTTCCGTCTCAGTTTTAAGGAAACATCCCCCGGGAGACAAATTTAAGGGTTTTACACCCGTTCACCCTAGTACCAAACCATTCGAGAAAACATTCGATCCTTCGTGTATTTTAAGTGCCCTCTACAGCAAAAACACTATATATTTACAAACACCCGAGCCTTCTGGAGGATTCGAACTTGAGACCAATGATACAACAGCCAGCATCGCTAAATTCTATAAAGATACAGGCGGCATAATGTTAACATAGATCTATTCAATTAAAATAACTGTACCATTCTCGTATCATTAGTCAAGCAGAAGGTACTAACGAAAATATTCTACGTACTGTGTTACACAGTATCTGTAAGATGCAATTATGAAAGCGAGTAAAATACATCTATAGGTTATTAGATATTAATAATTAATTCTGAATTTAGAGTAATTAAAAGTATGTGATGACATTTAAACTGTATTTGTATATTATGTCGAAATATTCAATACATGTTTAACGCGATTAGGAAACAGAAACTTGAATTCATCATTGCAAAGAGAGCGCAGTAAATTTTAGAGAAAAATTAGGACCCTCAATTTCCTAAAATTTTAAGAAAATGTGCAATAATACGAAATGCGTAATAACGTTATAAGATACTATTCAGAGTTCGTCACTCGACAGAAAGAATAAAAATGTCTTCACCTTCTAAATCATCTGATAGAATTACTGCGGTAATTTTTATTAGCCTCCAAAATTTCTGTATAGTTTACGCAGTTTTCGACAAAATTAATAAATTTATTAAATTTAATTATTTTTAAAAGGAATATATGAGAGTCGATGAATTGAAAGGACTGGAAAATGGTGTAAAGGACCCTTTTATTTAACTAAAATAAAAGTTAATAGAAGGCACCACTTGTGCTTACAAAAATTAAATTAGCAACCTTACATGCAGCAGACGGAACACACTCTAATTCTACCCTCTAAAACCTTGCTTTAAATACTATCTCCTTCCTACCTCATTTAAACGGAAGCGAGCTAGAAATTTATATTCTGGCAGGAGAATGGGAAGCGAGAAGGACAGAAAAGCGCATTAGCATAAAATAACTGGTTAATAATCTAAACGAAACCTTACATGTTCTTAGTTAAAAAATCTGAAATTGGAAGTGAGAGAAAACAATGTTTAAATCCTATATTCGATCTTGTGGAGGAAGAGGAAGTACATTCTTTTCTTAAATCGACGCTGCTTAGGGTCATAGAAAATATAATCACCTTCAGAATTCTAAAGGATCCCAGAACTTTCTCTTTCCTCCTCTTTGTCTTGACAATTTAGCATTTGGAAATTTAATTTAATAATTCGTCAATTAAAAGAATATTTTAGAAGTGAGGAAAGAATCATATAATTATCAGCGGTTCTGACATTACCTTTTGTTATATTAAATCTTCTTTCGGTTTCAGTTATACCAATGCGCATAACAAACGTATAAAAACTGTTTTTCGATTAAACAAACAAGATAAGTTTCAATTACTTTAGCACCCTGAATTTTATTTTTCTAATCAAATTTTTGAAACATTTATATTTCTTTTCTTTACCTTCTTTTGAAAAAAATTTTCTGAATTCTTTTCAAGTAATTTCTTGAAACTTTAGAAATTTATTCTAGCATTTTTCTCCATGTTACAGATTTTAGATTAGACAAACTTTGGATTAGTTAAGAGATTCCCACAAGGAACACATAATTTCTTAATTAATTTAACAATGTTTTTATTAACTCTTTCCGCGATGTTTGCCTGTGGTCTGTACGGGAAAATTTTCATATGCCGTATGTCAAGCCCTTTACACAAATTTTCAAAAATTTGACTAACAAACTGTTTACCATTATCACTTATTTCTTTTAACGGTGCACAGTAAGATATATCTGTGTAAATACGCATCTGCGACTATTTTAGCCAACGCTCGCTTTAACGGAATTATTTCTATCCATTTAGAAAAATGATCAGCAGTCACCAAAAGATATCGGTTTTTATTTAACTCACTTTAGGGAAAAGGGCCAAGAAGGTCTATTCCTAGAATTTCATTAGAAAAAGTCGCGCGATTACTATTTAGATACCCGGCTGGGCTATAATTAACTTCGTTAATTAACTGACATGAATTACAGGACCTGACATACGCTGTCACTGCCTTCTATAGCTGCGAAAAATACACAGACACGCGTACCCTACGCATCGTTTTCCACACCTCTAAGTGGCCAGCCGTTGGTGCGTCATGCAATTCCTGCAAAATGCTTAGCCGTAGTGTGGTTGGGATGACTGGCCTAAATTCATGGTTTTCATTTGTCGATTTAGTATAGAACAGCAGATTATCTACAGTCTCGTAATTTTGGGCCCTATTTCTTATTGCAGCAAGGTCTAAATGTTCAAAATTATCTGGATCCTTTAACCCGCGAGAACGCGCGTCGGGCCTGCGAGGCCCGGTCGTTACAAAAACATAATACAAAAATTTCTCCCTTTGGTGAAATTTTTCGACCTTCTCAGTAGCTGCGTTTAAGTCATGTGCTTGTCATTCACAAGCATTTCCGGAATTTAAACCTTCATCTTTTATCAGAAACTGAGTAACTGGGCTTCCCAGGCCTGAGGCGCGCGCTCGCATTGTCATTTAAAATTGAGAAAGAGATCAGGCAGTTGCAAAAAGGTTTTGCTATTTGAGCTATGACGATGAAATGAACAGAAAGAAAAGACTACAGAAACTATTAGCCGAAGTGTCGACTGATGAAGATACAATTAATGAAGAGGACGAAAAAATAGTTGGTGAAGAACAGTTTAGTGATCACCAATCGAATTCTGAAGAGGCAATCAAGCGATAAATCTAGTAATGAATTAAGTAATTTTGTGTCCATCAGCGAATTGTTATCTTGGCAATTATAATGTGACAAAATGGAATAAAAAAAGAACCAATACTTGTTGTGAGAACGCTTGCTCACAACATTGTGAGAAAATTGCTCGGAAATGTTTGTCAAGCAAAATTTGTGTCTTTCCCCTATGAATTCTTGGCAACTGCTTATGGATAAAATAATAGTAAAAATTCTAGTAGATTGTGCAAACATTTATATCGAATCCATTGCCGTCAAATTTGAAAGATAGAGAGATGCTCGATCCACAAATATTACAGAAATCAGAGCATTTTTCGGTATTCTTTATTTTGAAAGATTCCACAATGTTTCTCACATAAATGTTCTCGACCTTTGGGTGACTGACGGCATAGTGCTTGACATTTTTCATCGAACAATGTCTAACAAACTTTTTTTTTAAAAATTTCTAATGAGATGTTTGAGATTTGATGACATAAGAGATCGCTTTTCTAGAAGGGAAATAAATAAAC